AAAATCCTGTTATAAAAGGAGCTATCTGAGAACAACTATGAGAAGTTGTCATCTATCACTCTCTCATGCACTGAGGTTACAGAAAACGTCAGACTTGTCGTTTCATACTCTGCGCATTTTTACTATGGTCTTGGGAAGTGTTCCCTGTAAGCTGTGTGCTTGTGGGGACACTCAGGAGAAACTGACTGCTGACCAGCTAATTAGCAGAGCACCCACACAAGTAGGTTTTATTTCTATTGGTGGTACACAAGGCAGGTGCAAATGGTGCACATAAAAATGTATTGTGCACATGCATGGAAAAGATGAAAGGAAACATTGGTCTTGGTTCATGGTGGGTAGGTATCTCTGGCCCTCATCTTGAATGTATGTGTGTGCAGGGTGATCTTGCACATTTCACCTGGGTGTGAGTGTCTGTGTTGCTGCTGAGTTCAAGGAGGAGACAGGAATTACAAACACCCATAATCCTACAAATACACCAGGCTGTCCCTGAAACAACAGCCTCGCCACCCTACGCAAACCTCCTCGTCTCTCAACCACCACCACATCTACTAGTTAAGGTACTACAGCCCGGGAAGGAAAAGGCGGAGATCTGATACTTTCTCAAAACCAAGCCTACAGCTGGCAAACTCTGATCTGATTCCCTCAGCGCAGGACTGCATAGGGTCCAGGACAATCTCACAGAAGGGGCTGTGGCATGCTTTTGAAAGGGCAGGGGGAGGAATGCAAGGGGTGCACAAAGCAGCGTGGGGGAGGTGTGAGGCGGATTGTGCAATGCATGCAATGGGGCAGTACAAGAGTGTGGCAACCGGCCATGACAGGAAAGCAGCGGACGGCACTGTGGCATGGCGGGGGCAGGGGGGGCGTGGCACGCATGCAAACTGGCAGGCAGAAAAGTATGAGAAAGCATGTCCTGCATGCCAGGTGACTGGAAACACCGGGGAAGGCATTGGAGTGAGTGCAATGTGGGGTACAAAAAGGAATTGGCATCCAAAGGACCAAGGATGGGTGTGCAAAATGCACACAAGAAGCAGAAGCAAGAGTGCGGGACGTATTCTACAGCACCAGAAAGAGGTGTGGCAGGAGGGGCACGTGGCATGTTTGTACAAGGGCAGGAGTGCCAGGTGACTGGAAACACCGGGGAAGGCATTGGAGTGAGTGCAATGTGGGGTACAAAAAGGAATTGGCATCCAAAGGACCAAGGATGGGTGTGCAAAATGCACACAAGAAGCAGAAGCAAGAGTGCGGGACGTATTCTACAGCACCAGAAAGAGGTGTGGCAGGAGGGGCACGTGGCATGTTTGTACAAGGGCAGGAGTGCAGCACTGAACCAACAATGCAGCAGAAAGGGGGGGGCATGGCATGCATGCACAGAGCCAGGAGTGCAGAGGGGGGAAGAGGAGTGGCATGTGTGCACGTGGTCAGGAGCACAGCAGAGGGAAGGGGGCGTGGCACGTGTGCACCAGGCCAGGCGTGCAGCAGAACATTTGGGGGGGCGTGGCATACACACACCAGGGCAAGAGCGCCACCAGGAGAGGGGCGTGGCGCACACTGGAGCATGAGGGGGGCGTGGCCTACACTGGAGCAAGAGTGCAGCCAGGAGGGGGGCGTGGTGCACACTGGAGCATGAGGGCAGGCAGGAGGGGGGCGTGGTGCACACTGGAGCAAGAGCGCAGCCAGGAGGGGGCATGCTGAGCAAGGGTGCAGCAGGGAAGGGGCCAGACCCTGGGATATGTGTACAAGAGGAAGCCGCATGGTGTACAGGAGCCAATGCACACAGAGCCAGGGACGAGGTGCAAAAGGAGGCAAGGCAGTGGGCAAAGGACCCAGGAATGGGCACAGGCACAAAAGACAGAGGAATTAACAAGCAGAGGGACGGGTGCTAGGGCAACATGAGGGTTAGATGCAGAGGGAATGCAGGGTGCACTGTGGGGTCTCAGAGAAGTCCCTGGGGGGGATGTAGACCAAAGGGTGCAGGAAGGAACATCAGGGAGGAATGGAGACAAATGGGGCCAGCTCCACGCTGGGTGGGGACAAGGGGGCAGATGTATACAAAAGACTGGAGGGTGCAGAACCAGCTGAGGGAAAGGGACCAAGGGGCACGGATGGGAGCAGCTGGTGCATGGGGAGCAGGAAGGCCAAGAGGAGGTGCAGGGCACGGAGGCGGGCAGCGAGGGGAGGTACGTGGGGGGGGGCTGAGAAAGTGCATGCAGCGGGGGGCGGTTGCATGCGGCGGGAGACTACGGGACTAGGAGTAAGCGGGTCGTTGCGGGCAGCGCGGAATGAGGGTGCGCGGCTCGGCTGTGCCGAGGGACAGGACAGGAACGGGTGGAAGGCGCGGCTGCATGCGGCGGGGGA